GAAATTGTTCATTCTGGCAATGAACACAATGATACAAAAATATTCATCTACAAGATGAGCCATCAGGTTTGAGTAATTTTTTTATTACATTACCTGTCGCATCTATATGTACGCAGGCATTACTCTGCTTTGAATAATTTTTGTAAACATTAAGTTGAAGACTGGTCCAGTAATGGATAATACTGGGTCTAAGCCAATATTATGTATGATATTATTTAATGAGGTCGATTTTAATATTGATAATGCTAACATAGGATCCGGATGTACAAAACTGAATTTGGTAACTTTGCTCTTTGATGAGGAAGACATGAGGAGGCTCAGGATCACCTTCAACCATTAGCTTCTCTGGTTTCTTTGTCCGATATATGTGGGCAGGTTTTTTTGCAACTCTTTGCCAATTATCTTTCTACTAGTGTTTTTCAAATATCTCATACCGCATTTGCCAGTTCCTTTATTAAATTAATTGAAGAACTTGAATCATTTATCACACATTTCAGGGTACTTCCGCATCTACAAAACCCTATAAAATATGTTATATTATTTAGGAAAATACTTATAACCCTTTTCAAAATAAGCATTATATTTTTGTTCAATTTATTTGTTTTATTTTTATATTTTTATGAAAATATTACAATGAACTAGTTGAAAGTCACATTCAACCTTAAGGCAAGTTGCTTGAACGTTTCGATAAATTTAATAATTGACTTAATCAACCGAAATTTAAATTCTGATATTTAGATAGAGTTAGTTCAACTATTTATTTCGAAAATAAAGTTACCGCTCTCAATTAATTTTATAAGCATTGCAATTTCCAATAAAATTTTCTCAAACACATTTAAATTATCAATAATTATATTAATTACTAGCTGACCCGGCAAACGCTGTTTTGCTAAATAAGGTATATTCTAAACCATTTCTAGAGAATCAAAAATATTAATACTTTAAGTGCATAAGGATGTGTTGTTTGAATGCTGTATACAATTAGGTATTATAAAAACATAAACCCCATTAGTTTGTCTATATTTTATCAATACAATCAAACTGCAAGTTTTATACACTTTCTATAGAAAACATCGTATAATCCAATCCGAGTCTTTTTTGGTCTTTCGGCTTATTAATTACGTTTCAAGTTTTTCAGATTCTTTTTGGATTCTGAATTTTGTGTATAATTGTAAATAATACTACTGAGCTTATACAAAATTTTCAAATTTTTGCGAGGAGAGATAAAAAATGAATTATGTATTTCTTCTTTGACCTGCTTTTTGAAAAGATTTAAGTTACATTCGATGATTTAAAGTAAATTTAATAAAAAGTATATATGTAGAGCAGGGCGAGGCACACAGGTCCAATTTGACTTTGAGCAAATATAAACTTTATTGTGAAAACCATAACAATTATATCACAACAAATAAGACATATCAAACGAACAATTATCTGACTACGTTCAGTAAACTGACTTCTACTTCTTCATTGTAGAAATGTGCTTTTTTGATGTCTTCCAAAAATTTGTTATCTAGACCTTTTTATCCTATATTCGGGGTAACTTGTAACGGGCAGGTGGCAAAAGGTTTAAAGCCTTATAATAATTTTAAAGGTATTTTACAAAATAATTACATTTTTAACTAATGCTAAAACTACCAACGGAAGAAAATACTTTTATTATGGATTTTCAAAGATCACCGTTTATTTCCCCCATTTCAAAGATTATCGTTTTCATATCAAGTTTGTAGCTGGCTATACATCTTTTTTCCTCTACTTTCAAATATTGTTGTTAAACAATGCTTAACTTTACTGATTTTTGGCACATCGGTGGTGGATCTTTTTAATCACGGACCTTCATATATTACTATCTATTCTGCGATAAATTCTGGAAAATTATAACTGGATAAATGTTATTCGACAAAATGTCCATTAGATCGATACCAAATTTAGGTTCTGAATTTAAATAAGTTAAATAAAAAATAATATAACCTAGAAAATGTTTTATAAATACCAATGAGTATATAATTATACAAATGAGATCTTTCAGAGCACTGTGTTTGAGAAAAATATGCCAAAAAGTGCATTTTCATATTATCATATCAAAAAAGTTTACATTTTGAGTCTCTAGTAACACTTGCGGCCCGTTTACTAACGTTTTTGTATATAAATAAAACTACAAACAAAACTACTTACTACAAATTTATCATAAATAAATAATATTCGCGTAAAACATCCTATTAAATGTAATTGAACATCATCTGTCAAAAACGCTTTATTCGTAGTATTATTTAAATTACGCTTCTACAAAAAATTTCAAATTAAAAATCTAAAGTTTCCACGCGGATTTGAAATAATTTCTCACTTTTTGGACTTTCTCTGGATTGGCACGAATTTTTCAAGACTAAGACTGGCCAAATCGATTCAGCCGTTCTTGAGTTTTATTCGGACATTTGAAAGAGAGCTCCATTTTTATATATAAGATATTGCACAGACTCGTTCCTGTATGCCCCAAAATGGTATCTTATTATTTTAAATTTTAACACTTTCGACTCGGGAGTCGGACTGCCAGTCGGTACGCTGCGCTCGGAATATTATATACTTATCTCTCAACTCGGAATTTTTTTTGTATCGGATTTTTTCAAAATGTGGTTATATTGCATTTAAATATAGTTATTATGATAATAAAATAGAAAATTTTGAAAATTAAAAAAAATTGCACTCAAAACCATGCTATATTGTTTAAAAAATCATTTCTTCACAGATCTTTATTAGAATTATGGGAATCATGAGCTAATAAATTAATTTTGTTATATATTTATTTATAAAATTAATAAATCAATCAATAAATGAATGTAATAGTAAATTAATTTTTAAAAAATAAAAAAAAATTGAATGTAAGTTTAGTTTGCGACGAGTCGTCGCCGACACGATTTGCCGGCGGAGCGGCGACATCCGAGCTTAACGGTAAAACATATCATGCCGCCGGAGCGGCGGCATCCGAGCGCAACGGTAAAATGACTATGCCGCCGGAGCGGCGGCATCCGAGTCGAAAGGGTTAATATAAGTTTCATTTGATTCTGCTCGTTGAATTTATTTTTTTCAGTACTCTGATCTTGCACGTTGAAAATGACACAACATAGGCGTAAATACAATTTGGGGCTGATTAATGAGGGAAGGGCAGAGGTGCAAAATCTGAAATGTAAATACTCAATATTATATTGTTTCTACTGTATTAGTTTCATTTGATTCTGCTTGTTTAATTTATACTTCGAACTTGTACGTTAAAAATGACTCAACATAGGCCTTACGCCTACAATTTGGGAATGATTGGAGACGTACAAGGGCAGGGGTACAAATTCTAAAATTAAATAATTTAAAATTAAATATTATATTGCATAATTTGTTGATATAATTTTGTTTATTCTAGTTCAATTTAATTTTTTCCGTACTGAATGCTTTAACATTATTTTGGAGATGATTTGGGATAAAACAGTGATAGTAATTTTTATAAAAATCTGTGATTTTATAGTATTATTACCAAAGATTATTTAGTTTTTTTTTTGACATCAATACAGACTTCTGCTCTGCACTATATACCTATCTTCACAAAACATCTTATATTTGGGCTGTTCGGCCGTCTGGCGTACTGATTTTAGTAGCCATTTTCGATTTTTTTGGTTTAATTTTGGTGGTACAAATTAGTACCAATTCGAATTAATCAAGTAAGCATACTCATAATATTAACGGTTCATCAAATATATAATATTTAAAAAAGAGAAAAACTGGATCATTTGTCTTTTCTAAATATAGTATCAATATAGAAGCTATTCCGATGTTACATGTAACATTTTAACTATAGGCAAATTGCAAAAGCTTCATATAATATAGATGTGAAAGTTAAAAAACTAATTGTGATTAATGTAAAAATACCAACATACGACATGAATGCATCAATAATTCAACACGAGAAAAATCACATTTGTGCATATATGATTAAAAAGAATTAGTTGAAAACCTTTTTCATGATACAACAATTGAACAAATTTTAAAATCGATTTGGATTTATACTATAATGATTTCACAAGCGGATTTTAGAACAAAGATTGTGGTTATAGAGACATAATAAATAATAAATATTTTGAATTCAAAATAAATATAGTAAAACAAATTTCTTGTTTAATACTTAGAACTTTTATAAAGGTTAGAGTGAACTTAAATGCCCGCGGGTAAAAAGGTGCACCACCAATATCTCAAGGACCAGTAAAGTTAAGAATTTCTTTTAATTTAAATTAGATTAAACATTTTTTATATAAGCTAACACCAGGATGGGGTAAAAAAGACAGACTAAACCTTCACCCTAGCAAAGATGTAAAAAATACAAAATGGAAAATAAAAAAGTAAATTCAATTAAAACAAGCAATTGCACAAGAGATAAATTAAATAAATAGTTATTTTAACTAAGCTGATGAATATTTCTGACCAGATACCAGGTCAAGTTTATTTACAGTTATCCCTGTAAAAAATGCAACCATGTAATTTATATTTTGCATTGGTGGAATAATGTAGCTATTATTTAGTAAAATCCCTTTAAAATTAAAATAAGACATTCAACCTATTTGCACCCTGGCTGTACCAATTTACCCCGCCTATGCGGTAAGGATTTTTTGGAAAACAGCAAAGAAAAACATTTATAGAATGATGAATTAGCTGGGATTGTCACTGAACATAGTCAGATAGTTTGTGTGATATATATATATATATATATATATATATATATATATATATATTAGAACTAAAATTAAAATCTGAATTATTTTCGATATACGAACATTCGGTTAATAGAAAAAAAATCTATTTATCTTCTTTTTAATTCGACGATTGGGCGCAAACATAATATTTGAAATATGTATCAACGTCGACAAAACTATCATATATATATATATATATATATATATATATATATATATATATATATATATACAATTCTTCATTACTAATACTTTTATTAACATTTGCAGGTATGAAAACGAGGAGAGGGAGGCAATGAGCTCATTCAACGTATCATACAGTGGTTGGTGGACCTTTCCTTACTTTTCTTGTGAGACAAAATCTTGGTTGCTGTCTTACAGTACTAGAGTTTTACCTGTCAACCAATCCGATGGGTACATAAAATTTATTTATTTTAAAAATTATATTTTAAACGATGATCCATATATTAAGAATTATAGTTTTCTTTCTTAATAATAATTTAATGAAAATGATTATTAAATTTCAATATTAAGCTTTTGTTATATAAATATTAATAATTATCTGACTTTGTTTTCTACGGCGTTGTAACTCCGTCCGCACAATTTGGTATCGTCAGAATCGAGGTAAAATGTTCTTCGAGCTTTCGACAATTTTATATGATTTTATATCGATATAATAGCTCCAAAATATTGCAAACATCTTGAATTTTAAGAATATTTTTTCTTCTGTTTAAAAAATGCTATCTAAATAGCCAATGGTCAAAGATTTATACGCATGGCGTGTATATCAATGCACAAAGTTTTGCCACTTCTCCTTGATAAGTAACTAATCACATTCAACTGGTTAAAAATAGGAATTTTGACAAATACAATATAATGAAGGTTTGAACATATGCAATATATGATTATTCACATAATTCATAATTTTCACAATTATTATTAACTTCCCGAAGGAGAAGTTAATGTTTTCATCAAAAAATCCGATTCGCTAATTTTATGCTTTCTCGACATTTCAAGCCATTCTGAATCGTGTTTTTGGCATTTGTCAAAATTAGACCTTTCATCGACGTTTTCTCAAAAACGTCTGAACCGATTTCAGAAATTAAAAGCAGTAAAATAAAAGCCGTTTTTTATGGAAATTTGTTTGGCGATATATATCATGGTCTTATAGAACTTACTAAAATATTACGCCCTTGCGGCAAGTAGTTTAATTTTAAAAAGTCATCGAAGTTTGAGAAAATGATTAGTTTTTTTTTGACGTTTGTTAAAATTAAAATTAGACGATTTACTTGGTACAACGATAGAGTACTTGGTCTTAATGAACATACTAAACCATTAAAGTCCTATGGAAACTGGTTCAATTATAAAAATTATTGATTTTTGAAAATTTGCTTTTAGAAAATACTCCGAGTTAACGTGTTTGTTTGTTCGTTTTTAATTAGGTGTAATAAATCCACTCGGAATACTTTTAATCACTCATAAATTAATTTATTTTTTATTGATTAAGTCGTTTATTTACACATATCGGAAAGTTCACGTAACTTGCCTCAAGGCAAAATACCAATACCAACTAATTTAATAAATTTTTAATATAATAACTTTTCGGATCAAAAATCAAAGTCACATCATCATTGAATGATAGCAATTCGAGCTTTTTAAATCATTTTAAAGCTATGTAATATAGTAATTTTAAATTATGTAGTGATATGTAATGATAATTCTAGGAACATCAAATTTTAAATTTTAATAAAGATATAAATATAATTTTAAATATTAAATAGCATGGATTTTTTGTGTAACTACTTGTAAAACTTGCTTTTGCGATAAATATTCATACAATTATAGGTACACTAACACTAGGAACTTTTGTTATAACTACTTGTAGCTTTAGGTTGAAATTCCGGACGAGTTTAAGTAGATTTCAAATGGTAATTACTTGTTTCCAGTTTTATTGTGTCTGATTACTTGTTTATAAACAAATTTGTCTTGAGCATCCTATATAATTGGATCAAATTTGTTTCCAGGTTGAACGGATTCTTGAGCCTCGACATCGACTTGTCGAATCTGAAATTGAATCAGTGCGACAGAGCAAATGATTCCGAATCGCAGGAAATTCACGCGTTCTGGGGTTCGCACAAATGTCAACGGGAAAGCACCCAGGTACGTTCGCTCATCTACATTTCTTGTAATTTATATTTAAACTCTTGTAAGTGTAAGTGGCAAGTTTGGAATTCAAACACTTATCATAAGCTAATAATATTTTAGCATAAAGATCACGAATTTCATCGTCATAAAAAGTTGAGCTATTTAACTTCCCGTAGGGTAAGTTATAGTAATCGCAAAAAAATCGAAAATGAAATTTTTTATATATCTTTACGTTTCAAAGATTCCTGAATATTTTGGCGTACCTTAGAAAAAATGGATGTATGTGTGTGTGTGTGCGGATACAAATTTTTGTTGACGATTTCGGGAACACCGATCAATCGATTTGAATAATTTAAAAAACATTCGATTAGTATTGATAAGCAGACGTGCTGATTAGTCTTTGTCAAAGCCAGGTTTAGCCGTTCCGAAGATACGGGGCAAAAAGTGCCAAAAACGGTAACTCAGTTTTTTAGAGAACGGAGCATCCCATTTTAATAATTCAAAAAACATTTTGCTTGTATTGACAAGATGAACAGCTGATTAAATTTTTGGGAAGGCCGGTCTAGCGGTTTCGGAGACCTAGTAAAAAAGTAAAAAATTATCAGATATTTTATTGAGATTTTAGTAATGTGTATCAATTTTGTTTGCATTTCTATAGGTTCTGTAACGTCGTTTGTCCGCTAGACGGCTACGTGGCGCCTACGCGCTTCGATATTTTGTCTCTATGCAGCTAAAGCAGTGCGATTGCTTTGAAAAATACTTCAAAATTTCCAAAATATTTCAAAATAAAAAAAACATTTTTTGCAAAAGTTTTTTTTTCCAAAAATTCAATTTTTTCACAATTTAAAATTTCTCGAAAATTTAATTTCTTCAAAGTGTAAAGAAAAAATTTAATATTTTTTTTAAAAAAATAATTTTTGGTACGGGAAGTTCCACCAATTTGCCTTAATGCACGATGCCATGCACCCCACTAGTTTTACGAAAAAACGGCCCTACCGAGCTTTACCACCAATTCATCAAAATTCCTAACTGAAGTCTTGCAAATAGTTTTTGAATTTTCAAAATTGGTTCAAGAGTTTTGACTACTGAAAACAAACGGTTCGATCGCAAAAAATTAGCGCAAGTTCCTATCGAGTTTCATGGAATGGTCCTAAATTTTTGAAGTAGGCGCAACCGTGTTTATAAAAACGTCGATGAAATATCAAATATTAGCTTACATGGATAAACACACATAATTCTTCCAATTTTTGCCGTAAAACAAACTTCTCAAATCGGATAAAACTAGTTGAAAGTGGCATTTTGCCTTAAGGCAAGTTACATAAATTTCCCGACATATATACATATTAATAAAAAAACGTCAAAAAAAACGCTACTAATTTTTTCAAAGTTTGATAGATTTTTAAATATTCCGTAGTCCGTAATATTCAAGCATGTTCTATAAGACCATGATACCTACCATCGAAAAAAATGTTCAACGGATAATTACAAGGAAACGGCCCAGCCGATCTGTATCATTCTAATCAGCGCGATTCCCAACCAATTTCTTTCGAACAGTTTTTGAATTTTCAAAATCGATTCAGGATTGTGAGCTAGAACGGGGACAAAAAAAATACATTTTTTTGCTTATTACAAAGAAACAAATCGTTGCGCAAACAGTCGACGAAAGGTCAAAAATCGGCTTACATATACACTGCCATACATCCATATACACACACACATACTATTTTCAAATTTGGTCTCATTAGATTCAGAATGACGTGAAACGTCGAAAAATATAAAATTTGTAAATCGTGTTTTGTCGCTAAAACAAACTACTTCGAGAAATATCTAGTCTGATTTTTAAAAATCCTTTTTGCCCTTAATTTTGATACTGTAAATCTAAAAAGCTCCAACTAATAAATACCCTTGATCTAGATATCGGTTGAATTGTTTTCCTCAATTCCGAGTTACGATTTCAGTAACTTATCTCACGAAAAGGTAAGTTACTCTACAGAAAATTGTTCATTTTAATATACCATATTTTTTCAGTTTTTGTGTATTTTTTTATATGAAAAGCTTATTTTTTATTTATAACAAACCAATTATCTATCTATAGTGTGAAACGCGCTCTGGGAGCGAATGGTCTAAAGGGGCATATCAATGTGTTTGCCGACAAGGATATTATTCAATCAAACATCCGGATGGTTTTAATGGATCGATAGTAGAAGGCAATTAATTAATTAATAGAATTCTACTATATATTTTCAAAATATTTCTAACGATTTAATATGTTTCATTAGTGGCATACGAGGAAGAGCGGAATAACATTAGTACAATATACAGTGATGTATTTGTTTGCCAGAAATGCGCTCCTGGATGCACCGAATGCACAGGGCCGGCTCCGTGTTTGGCAGCATACAACTGGCCCTTCAGGTATATAAATCCCAATTATATATATATATATATATATATATATAATTGCTTTTTATTACACATTATTTGACAAAAATGCAAGTATATAATTTTATCGTTTATAAATTACCTTTACAAGTCCACTGCACTTTATAATCAAACAAATACTTTATTTTTCACCTGCATTTACTAGTACACTTTTATGATCTACTAAATAACGCATCTTGCTTTTTGCTTTTTGTGCACAATATGCCTAAAATGTGATCATCTTGCGTTCTATGCAGAAAATAATTATTTTAAAAATAATGCGTTTTCAAATATTTTACATATCTTTGTAAATTGTATAAAGAAATAATCTTTAAATTTTGACATAAACCAGCACATAAATTTCAAGATTTGAAATATTTTTCCCAGAAGAAATTAATATTTGTTGTAGATTTTTTAGAAATAAGATGTCGCCTTTGCTCTAAAAAGTAAAATCAATTTTTATAGATCTTTTATCATGTGTATTTTTTATAAAAACTTATTTATGAGTAGGGTGCGGTGGACAGACGCGTGCCACAGGTTGGAGTGGGCCACCCGAATAACCTTAAGACTAGTGACATGTATGTCGAACCGCGCACATATTTATCATATTTTGATACATACTCAATTTTAAAAAGCATTTGGAGGTTATAAACCTACTCTCGCACTGTACAGAGAAACGCGCTAAGAATTTCGTCGAGAAAGTTTTTACCGCCGTACGCTCTTACGTGATTTGTCATCGAATTTTCACTACAAAAATACAAATACATATGCAATATATTATATAGACATATAATCTTTAAAATGCAAAATGATTTTTGCCGAATGTTTACATTGTGTTTTTGTGGGATGCACATGCAAAAAAGGCGTTAGTAGATAGAATTGGGTCACTACTTGTGGACAGACGTGGGCCACTTGCGTAATGCCGTTCTTTGCACACTAAAGTGTTTTTATAAATTAATCTAACGTCTTATTTACTTATTTTTATCTCTTCTGGCATAATGCCTCCTTAAAACAAAAACTCCCAAAAAGTGCTAAATTATGAAAAATTGCAAATAAAAAAAATTAAGAAAATATTTTCATTTTTAACCATTTTACAACCACAAATAAAAACGTGGCCTATTTCTGTCCACCGCACCCTATGTATATGCAGGGTGTCCCAGACCTCGACATCACGCCGAAACGGTATGATAGTATTGACCGTAACTGTTCTGAAAAAATTTAGAAAAAAAAATTCTAGCCTTGTTGAAATTATGACCATTTCTCGGTTATTGTGGTTATTTTATACTAATTTTGTTCATTTTAACTTTGGAACCGTAACCGTGAATAATATTTCTAGGACTACAGTTAAGAATAATAACACAATTGCTCCAAATTTTCAAGAATTTGGATTTTTTGTTGAACTACAAATTTAAAATTTTTAAAATCGGTCGACTTTGAGAAGCTCTCTTTAAAAAAAATAAGTACTAATTAGTGTTGGCATGTTTCGTCAAAACTTGAGGCATCTAATCCGAATTGCAAAATGGTGAAATTTTTGATAATTTTATTATTGAAAATTTTCGACTAAAAAAATGAAAACCTAAGAAAAGGGATGATTTTTGCTAGTACATTTTACTCACCTTCGGTTCAAATGTTTCTCTCTTGCACGTTGTTAAGATAACGTCAAATTAAAAGTTAACCACAATAACCGAAAAAAGGGCCATTGTTTTACCAAATTTTCAGGTTGCACTTAAAAGGTAATAATTTCTAAGCAACGTGAGGTAATTTTTTTCAAGACAGTTAAGGTCAATACTATCACCTCGTTTCGGCTTGATGTCAAGATTTGTGACAACCTGAAAATATTGGCGCAATATAAGTTTCAACAAAATTTTGGAACTTTTGGTAAAAGTATTAAGATCAACTGTCAGATTATTTTTTATATCAAAATATATCATTTAAATCAAGAATACTAATTATATTTTATTATTCTCTCTAAGGATTTCCTTGCTCTCTGTATCTGTGGCATGTACCATATGCACCCTGATATTAGCAATTTACATGAATCAAAGTAGGAAAAAAAGAATATTTAGAGTACCCAGTCCGATATTTTTAACAATAACGTTGATGGGTTGTGCCGTCATGTATTTGGAGGTAAGTTGGAAATAAATAGCTAAATTAATAAATGTATGAACAAAAACTAGATTAACGTAATACATGACTTATAACATAAAGTTCTGGTAATATGTTAACTCTTCTAAATTTTCAAAAATATTTCGATGGTATGTAAGTCAAAAATTTTGGGAATTTTGTAATTTCAACATATTTTTAATACGAATGTATTACGCAAATAAAATAATACTACATATGCCAATACTGCAAGTATTTTGTAGACATGAAGAGAAAGGACTTTTGCAACTTTTGTTTCAAATCAATGCAAATGTTTTAATTAATTTAATAATTTAAAGTTATAAAATTTATTACAGAGTATTAAAATTTTATTATATTTAATTTTTATTAAAATGTCCCCGATTTTTCCAATATTGGATCTATATTTAGTTTAGTTTATTTCTACATAAAGAGAAAGGACATTTGCAACTTTTGTTTTAAATCAATGCAAATGTTTAAATTAATTTAAGAATTTAAAGCAATAAAATTTATTACAGAGTGTTAAAATTTTATTATATTCAATTTTTTATTAAGATGGCCGCGATTTTTCCAATATTGGATTCATATTCATGTATTGCCACCAAATGGTCGAGACATTTTGGATTTTGTGTAACATACACTGCGTTAATAATGAAGACATGGAGGTGAGTAGAGATGCTGTTTTTTTTTAATCTTATTGATCTTAATTTGATTTATTATTATTGTAATGTTGATGCAATATTAATTTATTAGAATTTAGTAAAAAAAAATGTTTTCATGTAGAGTTTCATTAACCTATCGAGTAAAATCTGCACATAAACTAAAACTCACCGATAAGCAACTGCTACAATGGATGTTCACAATTGTTCTAATTATGATAATTTATCTGGGAACATGGACACTCTCTGGGTCACCTAAAGCGGAAGAGGTAAAATACATTAGTCTCATTGAAATATTATCGAAAATTAAATTAATATAAGAAACAGATTTTAAGTGGCGATAGTAAATGCATACTAATAAGTACAAGCCTCTAGGCTGAAATAAATATATAAACTACTGGTGCATAGCGTCGTACTCTAAGGCAAATACCCTTCGAGAAGTTAAATATAATGTTTTCTAAATTTCCTTTTTGAATAGATCTTACCCTTCGAGAAGTTAAGGGGGTATTCTACTGTAGAATTTTGAAAAAATCGAAAAAATTTTTTTTCCATATTTTCAAAGTTTAGTTATTCAAAAATATGTCATTAAAAGGATTTTTCAAAATTACTATTATTTCCTGAGTTATAGCCGTTTTAGTGACGTGGCCTCGGTTCGGGTCCGACTTGTCTCAAAACTTTGAACGCGTTTTTCTCGGAACTACTTTTTTCGAGCTGGCGGTAAGGATATCTCGAGTTCTAATGAACCGATTTACTTCAAATTTGGAGAGGATCTTCTCTATACATCGCTTTATCGTATGGACCTTGCCCAAAACTATAACTTTTCATTTAGTATTTTTAAAAAATTCAGAAATGTTAAAAAAACATGAAAAAAAAAATTTTTTTTTTCAAACTGCCGCCATTCAACCAAAAAAAAATTGTTTAACTTATCCAAGGTTCATACGATAGCGGCATCTATTATAATTAAGAATCCGTCTATTTTTTATGTTTCAAATCACCAGGAGGGTTGGAATCATGTACGCCAGGACACCTTCTTTTTTTGGGAACCCCCACTTTGACTGCTCATAACTTTGTGAATTTTAATTATTTTTTTTTAATAATTTTTTATGTAATAACAAAATATCAATAAACAAATGACAAAAAAATCGATAGCAAAAATATTATTTGTTTCCTTTATACGGCGCTTCAAAAACCGGGCGAAATTCATGCGTCTACAGTAGAATACCCCCTTAAATATAATGTTTTCTAAATTTCCTTTTTGAATAGATCGTGCATGTTATTTACTCTATGAAAAATAAAGTATAAATTAAACACTTCGCTGATTTTTAAGATATAAATATATTTTTTAAATTGTTTAAAATTGCTGGAACTTTTTGAAACGTAATTTAAAATTTTTAAAAGCTAAAAAATGAAAAAAAAATTTTTTGATAATTTTGAAATTTTTCGAAAGTTTTTGATACCCTTTCATACCGGTTGGTTCATACTGTCGAAAAGATATAATTTTCAACCGCCAAATGGCACTTTTTTAAACATTTTTTTTTTATCTCCGAAGCCGCGAAATCAGCCTTTACAAGAATTTAATCGATTATTCTCACTCCTTATTAAAATGAATCGAATATTTTTTTAATCATTGAAATCGGTTGATCTTAGCTCTCGAAATCGTGGACTACAATTTGTATCCGAACACGCATTTGCCGTCGTATACATACATGCTACACACATACATCAATTTTCTCTAAGACATGCTAAAATGTTCAGAAACCTTTAAAAAGTGCAAAAAAAAATATTTTCGATTTTATTGCGATTACTATAACTTACCCTTTGAAAAGTTAAATATAATGTTTTCTAAATTTCCTTTTTGAATAGATTGTGCATGTTATTTACTCTATGAAAAATAAAGTATAAATTAAACACGTTGCTGATTTTTAAGATATAAATATATTTTTTAAATTGTTTAAAATTTAAAATTTAAAATTTAAATCTATGGTCCTGGTGGGCCATAAATATTGAATTAGTTTCTATTATAACATGAATATTTATTTATACTGTACTCAAAAAAAAAAAAAAAAAAAAACTAGTGGGGTGTATGGCATCGGGCCTTAAGGCAATTGAAAATAATATAATCTGCACAGTGTTCAGTAATTTAATGTTCACCATTGGTAAAAATATTTCTTTCTCTCATTTTCAGTGAAAGAAACTTCCGAAAGTTTGATGTATAGATTGGTAAGATAATCTAACTAAATGAAGATGATTGACTAAATATAGATCTAAATATATGAATTTTATTATTTTTGCTATGAAAAATATTTTCCTGTCAACTTGAAAATACTTAAAATATTTTTTTTAGAATTACTTATAGAATCGTAGTTATTTATTTTTATATTTGAACATAAGTTTGCCAAATTTTTAAATTTGTAGTCGCCTTTGAGATTAATTACAATGAATTTTAAAATTAGAACCTTTCTAAAAAAGGTTAGAAGTTAAAATTGCTCGTTTTTCAACTAACCGTAGGGTAAGTTACAGTAATCGCAAAAAAATGAAGAATGAAACTTTTTATATATCTTTACGTTTGAAAGTTTTTAAAACATTCTGGCATATCTTATTATTAGAAGAAATTGTTGTGTGTATGTGTGTGTGGTGTTTGTGTGTATGTGCAAACACAAATTTTCATCGACGATTTCGAAAGCATGGTTCAACCCATTTGAATGACTTATACATTCACTGGAAAGGCAAGTCTGGCGGTTTCGGAAATACAAATGAAAAGTTTTTATAAAAATACTATTTGCCAGTAAAAATCGTTATTAGACATATGCATATCAAATTGTTCTAATATTTGTCCAATTATGGGCTTGTAATAATAATTATAGATTTTGTTTGTGTTCCGTACCAAGATTCATAATGTACAACCGTTAGACTATAGCGCTAAAACAGCTATGCAGCACGATTACTTTGAAAAAAAGCAAAATTTTTATAAAAGTTCAACTTTTTCGAAAATTTCAAAATTCTCAAAAATCAATTTCAAGTTTAACATTTTCAAAAATATCAAAATTCTCAAAAATCTATTTTTTCAAAGTTTTTAAAACTTGAGGCACGATGCTGTGCACCAGTAGTTATAATAAAAGTTGTATAAAAAAGTCACCAAATATAGCAAACTCAAAACAATTCAGTAATTTCATATAAATTACTATTTTATTTCCATCTTCTCTGTATTACAAAATGCTTGCTAATTGATCATTTGTTACAGATAACAGACAGCCAAGGACTGCGTTTCAAGCAGTGTTCCTATAATTGGTGGGATCACAGTTTGGCCATAGGTGAGGTCTTATTTCTGGCTTGGGGCATTCGTGTTTGCAGCAACACGAGGAACGCGGCCCCAATGTACCGCGAAGCCAAACTTATAACGTACGCCATCTACAACATCGCTTTAGTCAACATCACGATGGTGACTTTCCAGTAAGTTTTCGAAAATCGATATTTTATAATATATAGTCATTATAGTAAGTTCACCTCGGAATTCGAGATACCCAGCTGTAAGACTGTAAATACACTCTAAAAGAGTTCTCAAAATCTACATATGGTAGGGTGTTCGTACCAAATGTAGGTTTTGAGACAACTTTTAGGGTGTATTTACAGAGTATTTACAGACTTACAGCTGGGTATCTCGAATTCCGAAGTTTCTTACCTTATTTATTTATTACCTTAAATGACGTGACTGTAATGGTAAACTCTTTTATGCTTATTTTATTCAAGCGATTTTTGGCGTTTGCGACATCAACAATATTGGTAATTTAATTTGATCGTAACGCATGCTAAAATAGTCAATATAAACATTATTATAAATATTACTGTAACAAAAAATATTTATTCAGAATAATATAATAGTAATTATTTTGAAAGTCATAATCATATTATATATGCCTGGATTGACATCTGCCTCGGATACTCCGAGGACAAGCAGTCGGTGACATCGGCTTTCATCTTAAAATATTGATTGAAATATGTTTCCAAGTGGTAATTGCTTTTTCCCTCTAATTCTAATATTCTAATATTTACTTTTACTCTATAATTTATTATTCTAATATTTACTTTACTCTCTAATTTATATTCTAATAAACATTTTCATCAAATAAAAATAGTCAACCGTCGGATTCCCATCTAATAATCTACGTAGTTAGGCAAAATCATCACCACGGCTCATAGTAGAACTGTAGTTCTGACCGTGCCTTAAAAAAAGTTGTTACAACTTTCCGTATCGTAACTCATAATATATGAAAACTATTTTTTTTTAAATTATGAAAAATTTAAAAAAAAAAATCTATTTTACAATTTTTGAAAAAATAATCGACTTTTTGAAATATTTTTGAAAATTCTGAAACCCATTCAAGTCGGCTAAATCATAGTGTATAGAATGTCGAGAACACTGAACTACATTTGTGAACTTTAAACTTGAAAAATCTTAGTACGAAACACAGAAATTGAAATAAAATGTGTACTTATTATTAAAATCTTTATAAAATATTTGATAATATGATGTGCGTATGCGTGATTATTTTTGGCCGCCTTGCATTTTTCTTAACTTTTTGCCAAAAGCGCTGGACTTGCCTTCACAAAAATTTTATCAATACTTTATTCTGTCTATTATACAAGTCACACTTTTTGCTCCGTATCTTCAAAACGGCTGGACCTGCTTTTACCAAAAAGGTAAAAGGGGATCTTAAAAAGTAAAATTATACAGAAATTTTCATTTAAAGTTTACTTATACGATTCAAGCAAATTTCAAAATTTTCAGAAAAAAAAATCAAAATTTTCAAAAATATACAAAGTATATTTACTTTAAATTATACTTCAAATATGAATTTTAAATTCACAATTCAGTTTGAAAATGTATATATTTCAAACGCCTTATTCTAATTGTAACAACTATATCCTCAGATGGATTCTTCGGCACCTCTTGCTAATGTAAACTTTCTCAAGTTCTTTGAGCGATAAGATCATATTACTGTATATTTTATGAACGATAAAATATTAGGTTGTCAAATATCTCCCTTTTGCTTTTTTGCTCTTTGTTTATAATACAAAAAGGCGGAAGGGAGATATTTGACAACCTTATATACAGTGATGAAGCAATTGTTATCAATCATTGATCAATATTTATTGATTACTGTATTTTTTTCTTATTGTTAGATATTTAATTCTGGTACGGGAAGTTCGAGCAATTTGCCTTAGGGCACGATACGATACACCACTAGTTTTATATATGTTCGATAGATAACTTTAATGAATTCAAAGAAAATCATATGCTAATTTATTACAGTTTGCTTATATTTCCACAAGTTGGTCCGGACATTAAATATTTGCTCGGATTTATTCGAACGCAACTTTCTGCATCAGTAACGATAGCGTTAGTCTTCGGCCCAAAGGTAATTTTCTTATAGTAATTAATCAACACTTAAATTTGTTTAGTATCTTTAGAATTAAGTTTTATATGTCATTAGGTGTTCAAAGTACTTCATGGCCAAGGTGATCAGTGGGATGAAAGGGGAAGTGCTAAAGGAGCGACTTCGTTTTCGCTAAATGGAATCGGATCGGGTCCTGATAAAGCTTATGATGTATTTGAAGAAAATAGAGAATTAAAGGTATTTTTTGATTAAAATTATTTGGTATTCAATAAAATTATGAATGCCAATGGAATGCCCTGATTTTCCTTGTTTAACCCCTTGATGCCTACCTTTCTCGACATATATGGAACGATTGCCGGCAGAATTGTGAAAGACCGTGAACGTTGCGGTCACTGTAATTTTATGCCTCAAAATATTACAGCTCTGTTAGAGTTAATATAGAAATATAATTTCCCAAATATTTTGAGTGTCACATTTGGTGATAGGCAATAATTTTTGGCATTAATTATTATATTGAGTGTGACGTGGAACTCTGCGCCTTGTCTTGTTTTAAAATTTACCATGCACAAATTTGTTAAAACATGCATAAGTAACAATTATTTGCAAAATAAATTATTCTTTCGACATAAATTATTTATTTTCAAAATGTAATAATAATTATATTACACTAGTTGCAAATGGCATTTTGTCTTAAGTTGAAAGTCTGATTATGTATAATTGATCGACTCAATCAATTTTGAAGTACTCAGATTTAACTAGTTTTAATAAAATCGTAACAATACAATTTTGAAATTTCGACTCGGCTCATTATTCCAATGTTTAATATTTTTTATAAATAAATCATTTGTCGTAGGCTCATATTATTCTAGGACGTTTATTTTGACAATTAACGAAATTTATTTAACAATTATAAACGGCTCGTGCAATTTTAACCAAAGACTAATCAGCAATATTCCCAAATGATATCTTTCAAACAGGTTTCGAATTTGTTCAGGATTTTTTGATAAAACTTGGGCAATTTTCTGTTGATTCTAACTAAAGAAACGGCTCAACGCAAACAACTAATCAACACGAGTCAAATGTCGACTTATATTCACCCAAATACTTTTTTCAATTTTGATCTCAAGCAATTCAGAATAACTTCTTGAAATGTCAAAAAAACAGAATTAGAACAGAATCGTCTTAAAATTGTCTTGTGTTAAAACTTAACATACGCAATTAAAATATTTTTTTCCACAAATTACCTAAATATAATAATAATAAATAAAAATTATTTGCAAAAAAAATAGATTTTTTATAACTAAAAAAATGCGCATTAAGGAGTTGGTTGGAGTTTTGTCACTTTGTTCAGTAATATAATAATAAAATAATAAAAAAATAGATTTACACAAGTTCAATCTAATCATCCAATTTTGATATGGAATCTGCGGATTTGAAAAAGCATTTAAATCCAGATTTATACTAGAATAAGTTATTTCGAAGCGCCTAATTTTAGAAATTTGATATTTGATATTTGATATTTGATGTTCAAAGTATATAAATAAGCTTCAGAACTTCAGCAAGAATTATTAAAATTAAAATTTGAATTATTTTCGATATACAAAAAAAAATTTTTTGAAAATTGTTTTGCCACACAAGCAGAATGTTTTTTGGATCATTCAAATCGCATACTCTGTTCTCAAAAACTGGGTTTTTATTTTCTGCACTCTTTGCTCTGTATATCTGTAACGGCTGGACCTGCCTTTGCCAAAAACTAATCAGCACATCTCCTTAAGTATTGAAATCGATTGCTTCTTGAATTTTCCAAATCGGTTCATCCATATGCCGGAAATCGTTGACGAAAAATTGTCTCCACACACACACACATACACATCAATTTTTTCTGGGGTATGCCAAAATGTTTCGAAACGTACAGATATGAAAAAAAAATCATTTTCGATTTTCGGCCCATTACTATAACTTACACTATGGGAAATTAATAAATTATATTGAATTTTAATCACTTTTATTTAAATAAAAACCTAATTTATCTAAGTCAAGTAATGTCTAACTTTTAATTTGAGCTAATTAATTACACTCTTAAGATCTGTAGCGTATTTATTGACACTCTTTGTTGCTGTTCAGGAAAAACTTCAAAAACTTACGGCGCAGATCGAATTCATGAAAAGCAACCAAAACGAGCCACAAAATAAGTCAAAGCTAACAAAGGCCATGGTTAACGGCCCAGAGGATCCAGGTAACCCATCAAATCCCAGTAGCAGTGGATGCAGCATCGCAAACAACAATCAAAAGGCACAAATTAGTAGCGATAACGCCTCCACTAATGTGTGACACGAATGTGACAATAAATCTCATTCAGGATCCTGCATCATTGATTGTTCTTGCTACGGGATTGAAGAGTCACGTCCAGCGATCTATGTATAGAAGTACAATATTTGCCATGTAGGGATTGAATCTTTGAATTGTCATGATCTCTGGAAACCAGAAGACATAGAAATATCTTTGCTTTCTAGCCCTTAACAAGTATGCAAAATGTGTATATACATAGATTTGGTCATGGGAAAAAGAAGTAATTAATAATACCAAATCAAAGTCTGTTTATCTAATTCGTTCATTTGTCAGAAAACGTATGTGAATTGCTATTAAATGAGCAAATTTGATTGTATCAACTTTTCTCTACAGAGAATTGTCCGCAGCACAGCAGGTCAACAAATAACATCGTAAAACAAATATTTTTTCATCGGATAACTTTTACTACCTCGTCCAGGAGGTAAAATTAGATACTGTATCTAAACCCCACATAAATTATATGTTTAAAACTGGCAAACTGGTAGAATATAATAAAGATGAGCATAAAATGTTACTATAATACTCTGCTTAACTATAAAAATAAAACCGTGCCAATTGTGAAAGTGCTGTTAGTCTGGAAATGATTACCTATATACACGGGCTAAATTTACAAATCTCAAAATCTTTGAAATAATCTGTGCATATAAACTCGACAAAATAGTGTGGTTTGTTCAACAGTAAAAGAAGCATGATCAATTGTAATTTCGATGAAAGTCAATTCCCGTATTAAGATAAAATAACTATGTGTACCTGTTTCATGTTGATATTTAGTGGAATAAAGATACCTTAACATATAAATAATATGTATGTATCGTAAATTATTATAAAAACACAAGTTTATATATAAAAGATGTTTGTATGTAATTGTATTGTTATTCATTTTAAACTACGGATCTGTAGTTGATCAAAAATATTAAGTTCAATTAAGTGTGTGATGTCATAATTATATGTGATTTTAATAAAATATTTTAATTCGTTGAAAAGCCAGTCAAAATGGGCGCAAATTATAATGAAATGTAGATAATTAGCACTGTGTGCCTTAACACGAGTTAATTCACATTTTCTTGACCGTTGTGCAAACATATTTTATGATGAAAATGCAAGTTAAATATAATTTCAATCTAAATGGCTAGAAAAAATAATTGTTCATCCATAATTAATATATAGCATAATAATGAAAATAATAAATTTCATGACTGAAATTTCAAAAATTAAAATCTTTATATGTATCCATAAGTGTAAGAATCGGCTAACTAACCGATTTTTCTTATTATTGATCGTATCGAAAACCGTCAATTACAATATTTATTTAAAATACAGAGCATATAGTTGATTAATAAATTTTTCGGTCAAATTTGTAATAACTAACAATAAGAACTTCTGCATAATTCTTATACATAATTTTGGCAGTCGCCGCACTACTACAAAGTACTGAAAAATAATCGTGGTAAAGGCGGCCGTGATATCAAGATTAATTGAAATGTTTCTTGAAATGATTTTAAAGATTTAATCAAATAAATAAATGTTATATGTGTGCAGATATTTAATAGAGTAATATATAAGATTATGGATAAATGCAAAATATTGTGTGAATAAATGCGAGTTATTCTGTATGATATTTGCTGAATATTCTCAATTTAATAAAACTACTTAACAAAATCATTCATTTTGCATCGCATGTTTTATGTGCATTAGAACCCTTGAAATTATAACGATGATATAATTGTTGCAAATTTGTTAATTCACTTATTTATTTAAATATATTTAAATATAATATATTTATAAATATTTTATAAACCTGAAAATAATATTAAATGTTAATTTATGTTATTACTAATTGTAAGTTATTTCATGTTTATATGACGTCAACTATATTTATACGTATTAATGGTTTGTATGTGTATGCGTTTAAGTTAAAAATGTAGTATGATTGTGTTACTCGATATGAATAAAAATATAAATGAGAAAGCTGTTATAATATAAAAGAACAATCTTCAGAATATAACAATACTTATTGTCAAATTAAAAATCACTATTTACTTACTTAAAATTAATTAAAATATTTGACATTTGTTATTTAATAGAATTATTTGTAAACAATCTAAGTAAACACCGTGTGACCTGGGCGGCGGTAGGAATCTGAAATCCACAAACTTGCCTTCAGCGCTGTGACATCCATGTGGAACCTATGTGGATTTCAGATTGCTACCTCTGCTAGCATAGATAAATAAGCATTGGCTGCTCGGTGTTTACTGGGACGCGACTTCCCAGATATTTTAAAATTTTTGCTTAAAAATTGAAGACGTCATTTTAAAAACATATTTCAAAAAATACATAAGAACAATCAATGCACACGGGTTTCCTGAGTAATAAATTTAATTAATAACTATAACTTTTGATAAAAGTGTATGTATAGAAAATTTGTTTTTAATAAACACAAATGTTGATTATGTGAGAATTTATCATTTAAGATTATTCTACAAATAACTCAATAGTATCACCATTGAGAAATTGTACCGTATACAAGAATTGTTAAAACAATATATAATATATTGTACAATGTGAAATCTGAAGATAATAAATATATGTTTATACATGTTAAAGACGTATTTCAATATTAAAGAATATTTGCATAAGCTTATATCAGAAGATCTAATAGTCATTTCCATTTTTTAACTATATTATTTCAAAACATATGTAATAAACGTAGACCCAAATTTAATACGGGTATTATTACGTCATCTGAACAAACAATTTGCAACAGTCAGCTCTCAACTAAGAAATCAATTATGAAAATAAATAAACAATCATAACTCATACCTGAGCAGTAAAGCGAATGTTCGCCTATCTTCCAGTTTAATATTTCTAATCAACGTTCTGATACTGAACTAAACACGCACTCACACGCACTATATATATCACAACTCAAATAAACAAATATCAAATGGTATCACTTCCCTTCAATAACAAATTGACCACTTCACCAAGAAAAAAAAACACGCTACTCTTTAAAACCTTCTTACAGTAGGATTTTGGCATGCAACATCTATTTGGTAAGGTATGCGGTATATATTTTATACCACGTCGCGACATCTGATATCAACTTGGTTATCTAATTATATATAAGGAAAAATTGAAAAATGTGGGGAGATTGAATCATTTAAATAATATAATGTGAAGAATAATTTATTTGACAATTCAATAAAATGTATATGTACTAACGTAACGTATTTCTAAAGTAATAAAATTTATAACAACATAATAATTAGGAACAAATGTTAATTAAAGTTGATTTTTGAATTTATGACCAAAGTTTAATTTATTATTAGTAACAAAAATAAAAATATTATTAATATAAATATATAATCTGTTTTTTATTTATAAAATTCGTGTTCATATTTCGTTGAAATAATGTTTTAAATAATAATTTTATTATATAAGTAATCAATTTACGAAACTGGTATCTATTTATTAATTATTTTTTCAATATGAATTATTTATTTTCAATTAGCACAAGTTGAACTTTCAGTTATGTGTAAATGATCGATTAATCAATTTTGAAGAATTAAGTAGTTGTAATTAACAATACAATTTTGAAATTTTGACCTGGTCAATTATTCCAATCTTTAGTAATTTTTTATAATTAAACCACTTATCCAAGACCATGACGTTCATCAAACAATTACGAAGAAACATCCCGGCCAATCTTTATCAGAAACTAATCAGCAAGATTCCCAACTTTAAAACAGGTTTTGAATATTTAAAATTGTGGTTCAGGATTTTTGGATCAAATGTGGACATAAAATTTTATATTTTTCTGTTAATTTGAAAGAAACGGCTAGACCGGTCATTGCAAAAAACTATTCTCAAATGATTCAAAATGATTTGAAACGTCGAGAAAACAAAATTAGCAGGTCGAAGTTTCGACTTCAAGCTCCATCCACAAGTTATTTTGTTTGATGTTAATTTCAAATACTAAGTTTAACAAACAATGTATTGTACACACTTTTATTTCAACCAATTTACAAATAGCCAATAAGTCAATGTTTGTTTTAAACCAGTTAAACAAACAAGCAAGACAGCCACATTATGGTCTCAAGCCGGAATAGCTGAGAGTCCACACAAAGGACTTCTTTGCTTAAGTAAAATAGGTCAACTGAAGAATTAGCAATATAAAGAACAACCAAAATATAAAATTTTGGTATGCACTTACATATAAAAAGCAAAATTATATTTTGATACTTTTATTTTCTATAGGTATATTGCAATTTCGATATAATAAATGGTTTTTAAAATCTTTTATAATTTAACAATATAAACAATAATATGACAGCATGCCTATTTATATTATATTATTAATATTCATATATCTAACAGGCTCAAATAAAAAGAATCGTTTTTTTAATATCAAAAATAGAAATGAAATTTTTATGAATAACACAAAGTTGAAAGTCGTTCAAATATCAGTCTTATAACTAAATTGAAAATAATCATATTAATATACATAACTGGTTATATTTATAGTATTTATATAAACCTATTATAGATTGGCATGCTCTTAAAAACCTTACTCTTTATTTACACCAGTGAGTTCGATAAAAATTTGAAGTTTATTACAACTAAATATAATTTTATTGAATTCAATAAAATTAAAACTTTTGCAATACAATACAATATTTTGCTTATATACATGTATATACTTATTTCAAGAGATTTTGTAGAAAGCATTTAAAAAAAAAATATTGCACAAAAAACGTCATATCAAATTAAAATACAGATTATTCTAGATAACAATAGAAATACAACCAATAACTTGAAATAAAAATAATTTTTCAAAAATGAAGTAGAAAATCTTAACCTACACTTTTATATTTATACAATACCTATTATTGTGAGCTGTTCATGTATATAAAGAATTACAAATATGAAATTATAATTAAAGCTAGTAATTCTTTATGTAAGGCACATTATTGGGCACTTATTTTTAATCTACTTGAACTATTTAAAAATTTCATTTTCATTCATAAATATAATACTACAATAATTTATATGGACGGATATCTGCTACTTTTATATTACAGTAAAATAATTTTCTTACTTACAAAAGCCTTATAAAATATATAACAAGAAGAATGTGGACGGAATACAAATTCACTTTGATTATTCTATGAGATTTGTAGAAAGCTCATGGATCTGACATCAAATTAAAATATCTTGTAATGCGTAATTTGCAAAATTTTAAAATACAAAATTGAATAGGTATAAAATGCATTGCCTGATAAGATTGTTAATTAAATGATGAGAAAAAAGCACAAAATTTATCCCCGATAGAGTTATCAGTGTTGATGAAAGTTTTCAATGGCATTATTCAAATATTCAAAATTTCTTCATTTCTATCGAGGCATTTATCCAATTGTTACGCAAAATAGGTGATTAATTTTCTGTCATGATTGGTATAAATCTTACTATTTAAACTAATAGGTATTTAATATAATACATTATTTGATAAAACATCTTATTTTACAATATTTAAAAGTTAAAATACATTGTTAATAGTCATTAAACTATCAATATATAAATTATAACTTTTGTAATGCCATTAAATAATACCACACAGGATCAGAATTGCAGCAAGACAAATATATTTTCATATGAATGCATTTATGCACTTCAATAAGGTCTTATACTACTATTACTATTTTTTAAAACCATATGAGACAATATGAGTGAATGAGAGAGCGCATCAACATTCTCTAGTCCACACAAGCATATATATCTGAGATAAAAATAATATTGGTCTTTCTTCAATATATGTCGCAATCATCAGACAGATTGTTTTGAAATTCAAACATTACATACAATATTCATTGCTTCCTATTTTCACTTCGACCAAATAATTTAAATGCTTCAAATCGTTAGGAAAAGTTTGTTTTTCTCTTTTGTTTTTAGATAGATATGGCTATCTGAATCTATAGTAAAATAAACAGTTTTTCAGGCATGCAATTGATAAATAATAACATAGTCCAATATTTTGAACCTTTAGAACATACAATTTTTTTGATTATAGGTTTGACTCATATTCTTAGTGTGAGTAGATACAACAATGAATGATTTCACACAATGAAAATGTATATAAGTAATATACTCAAAATAAAAAATGTAAAAAAGCTGAGAATGAAAATAATAAAGATATGAACCTCAATGATGAACTAGTTCATAAGTTTGATGATAAGTCTGCCCGGAAAACTTTTTATTATATTATTCTATATATATATTTTACGATATGTTAGAGCAGATCAAATTATGTATATATATATATATATATATATATATATATATATATTAGGGTGGTCCTTAAATTGGTCATTTTCGAATTTCCTTGCTCCCAGGGGCTCAAATGGTTCCAAATTGATAAAAAACAATTCTCTGAAAGTTTTAGCTCTTAATATTAACATTCAGATAGAGCGCAATTCAATCAAAGTTTGTATGGAAAGAGCATGGAAAATTTTTTGAAAATTTAAAAAAAATGTTTTAGGTATAACTTAGCGACAAATGAATGAGTTTTATTCATTCATTTATTCGCTAAATTACTTCTAAAAAACGTTTTTAAAATTTTTGAAAATTTTTTCATGCTATTTCCATACAAAATTTTGATTGAATTGCGCTCTATCTAAACGTTAATATAAAGAGCTAAAACTTTCAGAGAATTGTTTTTTATCTATTTGGAACCATTTGAGCCCCTGGGAGCAAGGAAATTCGAAAATGACCATTTTAAGGACCACCCTAATATATATATATATATATATATATATATATATACACACACACATGCAAAACACTGCTATAAAATTTCCATAAAAGCTCTCGAGTATTATCACTAGGAATTAGATTAATAATTTGAACACTTTGGTTTAATCTAACAATTTTAAAACAGAAGCTGCTAAAATCAATGAAAGAAAAACTAGAATATTACCAACCTAAATGCATCCCACTTATGTGCAAGTAACAAGAAAATAAATCTTGAATTAGTTACCAGAAGTTACAGAATTCGATCAATCACATGGTGGATTTAACTTTATTTTGAAAAATAGATTCTTACCGATTTCCAATTGTTGCCACTAGAAAATTACTTGTAATTTAGTCCTGGTAATAAATCTTATCTTAAAATCATATTTACACCAAATACTTAATGATGCAACTCCTACAATTTTCTTGTCAATTAAAAATTTTGCAAATGAAATGGACAATAAATATCGATCTATACAATATTTAAAATGATTTTCATACTCCTCCAATTATTTTCCGCAACATGCTCAGGATTATGTTCTAATTACCAGTAGTAATACAATAAATAATGCCATGTAGATTTGTTTATGATTAAAGAGTGTAGAGGAACCATTGCAGGAATCTGAAGAACAATAACATTCTTCCCAATATACACCATTTTCATAAACACCCCAGTTGCAAACTCCTGTCACACCAGTATCTGCTACAGATGCACATCGTCTAATAACTTGACGCCAGCGTCCATCCCCTATTTAAATATTAGATCAAGGTAAAAGTAGAACTATTTATTTTTCAAAATTCAATGAACTCAAACTTCAAATGTTAAATTTATGGATAATAATTCCTTGATACATATCATATTATAAAATCTTACACATAGCAGTTTTCAAAAATAATTCCTTCAAAACAAGAAAATATATTATCAAAAATGTACTTATCAGTATTCATTATACCACATTTGAATGAAGTATTGTTATGGTCAAAACTACAACCAATTATCAAATATACAGAATTACAATTATCACTGCTTACATATGAATCCTTTGGGTCCTTGTTGTGTAATTTTCATACAAAAAGATCCTGGTGAGTGAGATTCATCACTGTTGCATTCTATAGGAATATGTTCCTCTTTAACAAATTTTTTATAAGCACCACAATTATCTTCACCATCAGGGTCATCACTTGAGGCACACTGGTAGCACCTTACACTTTCACCTACATAAATCAAACTATGAGGCCTTCAATAAATAATTCTTCCACTAAACACTATTCTCATACAATAACATATTAATATACATAATTCACATGCTATTTTTGTACTTTCTTCAAATTTAGTTTACATTTTAAACATAAAGTATTGCTTGAATAGTGAGCTACATTGTATTGCATTTTGTAAATACAAAAACTGTGAATTGTTTGCACAAAGTAAATGCACAATTTGTTTGAAATATAACGATCTTCCAATTTTGTCATATTGTCATAAAATCAAGAAAGGATTAAAAAGAGAAAAAGATTTTTTTTATTTGCCATTACCACATTGAGAAATAAATTTGATTTCATAAATACTACTCTAAATGTTCAACATAACATTGCCATTAAAGTAAGCCTTCCATTTCATAGTGTTATCAGTTAATTATTAAAATTTGTAATGGATTCAGAGAGTGAAGCCACTCCCAAAGTAATTTTGGTTTCTAACCCTTTATAACTAATAAGTTGAATACAAAGATAAATAGGACTAAGGTGAAAAATAATGATATTCGGAAAATAATGAGTGAATATACGTTCCATATTTTTCATTATAATGACATTTAATTATTTAAATATAACCTAACATGACCACTCCCAAATATTACTCACTGTCTTACCATATTGTATGAAAGTACTTAGTACAGACATTATAGCTAATAATTTCCATACTTTGTGATATTCTCTCATTATGTTATAAAATCAATTAAAAGATCACAATAATAAAACAAACAATAAATAAACAAAGTATATTTAGCTTGCGTTTTGTCAATTGCTTAACAGTTTCACCACCAAAAGAAGTTTGAAAAATTAGTCTATTAATCTGAGAGCCGGTAATTATTTTGTAAGAAATATTTAAGTTGTATTTTAATATCATACGTAAAATATTTTATTTCCGCGGTTTCCAAACTTTGGAGCGCGTGCCTTTAGGGGGGCGACAGGCTGTTCTAGGGGGTCGAGTACATTTTCGAAAATGACCCAAAATATTTGAAATGATATTAAAAATAAACAAAAGATAATTTGTTTTAAATTATACATGTATATATATATATATATATATATATATATCAATTTTATTTTCAATAGCAATCAAAATACAGGACAATTCTATGAGCTATTTGGCTTATGTCATTCACTCGCACACATACACACAAACTATCAAACACACATCTAAATTAATCTGATAAATATTATATTGATAGAGAATCACTTCAATAAGTGATTTTACTTTATACTTGTTTATCTATGATTTTACTATTCTGTTCATATAGAGTTGTGGTAGTTCTAAGGGTCCTCCATATTATCTTTGGACAGCTTCTTCTTCAGTCTTCTTGAAATTGGTATCTCAAGAAGCTGAATGACCATAGAGTTTGTATGATGTTCTAGTTTATGAAAATGTTTTACACTATGTTCATAAATTCAACGCTAACGAACCACGGAGCATCTGTCTTAATATTTTTGATTGGGCACGTTGCATTAGCACTATGTTGAAAATGCTCGCACAGCCCCGCAATTCTATGCCATAAATCTACATTAGTTTTATTACTACCTTGTAAATTAGAAGTTTATTGTCAAAAGATAGAATTGACTTGCGTCCCAGAAGCCAGTAAAGTTCAGCGGTTCGAATTTTTATAGTATTTAATTTTGCGCAAATATGGTCCTTCCACGTCAGTCTGCGACCTAGATGCATACCTAGATAATTGACACAATCAGTGCTTGGAATTGCTTGGCCATAAAAATGCACTCCTGGGCATGTTGCTCACAATCTGTGTAAATGTTATATGGATAGTCTTGGTCTCATTTATTTTTATTCTCTATAAAAAATAAACGCGGTGCAAAAAAGGTTGGAAACCACTGTTTTATTTATATTTTGTTTGTAATAAAAAAAATTCCTTTAAATCTATGCTTACTAAATTCAGAAATAGCGTCAAGAAAAGCCGTCAAAAATTTAATGAAAACAAAACTAAAAATGCATAAGGAACAAAACACAAAACTAGCTGTAAGTGGAATTCTGTCTTGAGGCATTTATGGCATCGTGCCTTAAGGCAAATTGCTGGAACTTCCCGTACCGAAATGTTCGAGGAATACTGAATGTTTTCAAATAGATTATTATAAATATTGTAACATTGTCTAATATTTATGAGAATTATATAAACTGAATTGCAGAGTTGAAAATATTTGTAAAGTATATTAGAACTATAGCCAGAATTAAAAATAAAATCTGAAATATTTTTGATAAAAAAAAAAAAAAAAAAAAAAAAAAAAAAAAAAAAAATTGAACAAAATTTTTTTTTCCAAAATCAATTATTTTGTTAAGACAAGCAGAAAGTTCTTTGAATCATTTAAATCGGACGCTTAGTTCTCTCAAAAACTGCCATTTTTTACATATTTAGCTCCATATCTTCGAAATGGCTGGGCCTGCCTTTGCCAAAAACTAATAAGCACTTCTCCCAATCATTACTAATTGAATGCTTTTTAGATCATTCAAATCAGATACTCCGTTCTCTCAAAAATTCGATTTCTATTTTCTGCACTCTTTGCTCCGTATCTCCGAAACGGCTGGACCTGCCTTTGCCAAAAACTAATCAGCTCTTTTCCCTATCAATAGGAATCGAATGTTTTTTGAACCATTCAAATCGGTTGATCCGTGCGCCCTAAAACGTGACTGGAAATTTGTATCCATACATACATACACACACACACACACACACACACACACACACACACACACATCCATTTTTTCTGAGGTATGCCAAAACGTTCAAAAACCTTCAAAACGTCGAGAAATGTTAAAATTTTCAATTCCGATTTTCGGCCCATTACAATAACTTACCCTACGGGAAGTTAAAAATCAAGCAGATAACAAGAAATAACAAATTTTAGCTTTTTATATGAAGTTTCTTCACTTTTGTTGGCAAATTGCAACATTTGAGTATTGTACACGTGTATATAACGAAAGAAATATAATATAATTAAAAAAGTTTATGATATAATTTATGTAATATTTTGATTATGATGATTATTTGATATTTTCGGCATTAATGATTAAGATATTTCACGACAAAATATAAATAGTTTTTATTTCATATTTCACAATTATTTGAATATTGCAGATTATAATTAATAATTTTATTGTTAATTATTACTACATTATAGTAATCATCCAAAAATCAAATTTTTTTATGCCTAACTGTACATTTCAAATAGTCCAGTCATTTAAGCTTAAATTAGGTAATAATCTATAAATTCAAGATACCCAGCTGTAAGTCTGTAAATACTTGTAATTTGCACCCTAAAAGTTGTCTCAAAATCTTCATATGGTGGTGTGTACGCAACAACCTTACAGCTTACAGCTGGGTATCTTGAATTCCGAGGTTAACTTACTCTAATGACTGAATAGTTTTTATTTCATATTTCACCATTATTTGAATATTGCAGATTATAATTAATAATTTTATTGTTAATTATTACTACATTATAGTAATCATCCAAAAATCAAATTTTTTTATGCCTAACTGTACATTTCAAATAGTCCAGTCATTTAAGCTTAAATTAGGTAATAATCTATAAATTCAAGATACCCAGCTGTAAGTCTGTAAATACTTGTAATTTGCACCCTAAAAGTTGTCTCAAAATCTTCATATGGTAGTGTGTACGCAACAACCTTACAGCTTACAGCTGGGTATCTTGAATTCCGAGGTTAACTTACTCTAATGACTGAACTAAAAGGTTTCTGAACATTTGGCATACCTTAGAATAAATGAATATGCGTGTGTATGTATGCACAGATCCACCGATTTGAATAATTTAAAAAATATTTGATTCCTACTGATAAGGAAACATGCTGTACCGTTAAGGCAAGTCCAGCCATTCTGGAGATACGGAGCAAAAAGTGCCGAAAATAGAAATTGAGTTTTCGAGAACACGGAGCATCCGATTTGAGTGATTAAAAAAATATTCCATTTGTAATGATAGGGACAAGTGGTAATTAGTTTTTGACAAAGACAGATTAGTTTTTGAGAGAACAAAGCATTCGACTTGAATGATTCAAAAAACCGTTTGGTTGTATTCATAGAAAGATTATTTTTGGAAAAAGCCAAAAAAAAAGTTAGTTTTTTATTTTTTTTCTTTAATTTTCCAAAAATATTTGTTTTTGAACATCGAAAATAATTCGGATTTTAATTTTAATTCTAGCTAAAATTCTGAAGCTTACTTATATACTTAAAATAAATAATTATAATTTTGCAATTAAGTTTATATTAGATTGTCAAATATCTCCCTTCCGCTTTTTTGCTCTTGGTTTATAATACAAAAAGGCGGAAGGGTGATATTTGACAACCTATTATAATTCTTAGAATTATGAGGCAAGATCCTTCATTCTAACTCCCCTTCATTAAGTTCTGTTAATTTACTTTTTATGTGAACTTATATAAACGTCATCATCCAATATTTTGGACTCTTGAATTTTGTCTATAAAATACGAATAATGAAAGTTACAGTAATTATAATAATCTATTTCTATTTGAAAGCGTTTAATATACGTGAAATATTTTATTAAGGTACGGGAAGTTCCAGCAATTTGACATAACGAACCATGTTATGTTTACTTATCTATGTAACGAACGATGTCATACACCACTAGTTGTTAGTATTTATGGTATAGATTGAATAAAAATTTATATAATATTATGTTTAGTGCAACTAATTTCGTGCAAACGAAGCTCGGGTTTTAATTAACGATTTTGTGAATGTACCATCAACCCTAGACAATATAATAATTTGACCATCAACTCTCTGATTATAATACTTGTTTGTTGACACGCCTTACTTCTTTCATTCTTCTATTATTTTTATTTTTCGTAGTTGTAAATATTTTATAAATTGACATAAGAAAATTGTAAATATATTCTATGATGATGTTTTATAAAAATTCGGGTATTATATGGAATATATTAGTATTAAGTCTTTTCATTGGGACAGGTAACAATTAATTAAATTGATGATTTACGCCCATCATTTAGGTTATGTCTTTTTAACTAGTTTTTTTTTTCAAATTATAATTATAGCTTTTGGTATAAAATGTTGGGATTGCAGATCTGACACTGACCCAAAATGTGCAGATCCCTTTGATAACAGTACAGTTCCTATTAAGGACTGTAAACAAGAAAGTGAATTAGAGCATCTTCCAGGCATTCGACCAACCATGTGCAGAAAAATAAGACAAAAGGGTAAGAAATACCACATTTTTACTAGTATGCTTTTATATATAAAATTGAAAAACAAATAATTTCATTGTAGTTATTATTATTTGAGCTCCACATGAGTATTTAATATTTTTCATTTGCTATCTTATCTATTTGTGATGTGAAAATACTAAATGACGACATCTAATTTACTATTTTGAAAATTAAATATCAATACATTTTATAGTGAATGGTGAATGGCGGTATTACAGAAGTTGTGCATATATGGGAGAACCGGGAATTGCAGGTGATGAAAGATTCTGTTTAAAACGAACGGGAACATACAATGTATTTATGGAATTCTGCACTTGTAATAGCAAAGATGGATGTAATGGCTCAAGTTTGCTAATCCCACATGTATTTTTATTATCATCAATTTTGCTTAGTTCACTTTGTCTCATGTATTAAAATCAACTTCAGGCTTTTTTTTTAAGTATTATGTAAGTATGCGTCTCCTTTATTTACAATATACTCCACAAGGGGTTTTAGAATGATATTTTTGAAAATGATATTAATACCAATATATATATTGGCAGTTTTAATTTATAATGAACATTAGATTCCAATAATTGCTTTATTCTTTTTATGTAGTACTTGAAAAGCCCTCTTAAAATCATCACAAAGTCTATACCTTGCAAAGAATGCACTATAATCATTCCACTTATTTTTAATATAACTTATTCACGCATATATAAATTGCACGTAAATGTAATTTATATATGAGCCGCTCAGTGCACACATCGACTAACTCCACTTTTTGAAAAAACTGAGATATTAGTGGGAAAGAACTTGGTACAATCATAACTTTTAGTATTTATAATAACTTTCCGGAATAATAAAGATTAGCACCGTTAAATGGCAAATTTTTTTTGGTCATTGAATAATAAGTAATTTATTTCAGAAGCCATTTCGATTAACTTCATACTCTGTATAATGTTAATCGTTTCAGTAACGCTGTATCTGTTCTGGCCGTGCATCGACGCTTCTACATTTATATTTGAATTCATATTATCAGGGAAATTTTAAAAAACAATATACATTAAATCATCGCGTTTCTCAACTTTTTGTTTTATGGAGTTAATCGATGTGTGCACTGAGCGGCTCATATATAAATTGCACGTAAATGTAATTTATATATGATTGTTATTATTATAATACTACTTAGATTATTAAATGGTTTTTATCATAATAATCTCACAAAATGTTCATAGTTTTTGCAAAGAGCATTTGCAAATTTGAAGTACTATGGATGTTTTTACATTTCTTAAGTTTCTGGTGATTCCAAAATCATCAATATTTATTTTTTACTAATGAGTTTAGGCATATTAATTGGTTAAATGTCAGTTGAGTTGTTATTGCATTTTTGGGATTACAGCATAATTTTAAAATGAATATTAAAGTTGAAATGCTTGACAATAATAACAATCATGATTTACTCATTTAACTAATATTCAAAAAAAATCTACATACTAAAAAATTTCACATAGAAAACTTGTGTGAATTTTTTTTTGCTTATTTATGTATGTAAATCATGGTTTTATGAAATCTAAAAAATTATTTGTATCTTGTTAGGTGTTTTCTCAATTTATTGCTGCCATAATATATAATTGTATATGAATCTTCAGTATTTGAATAGTGATAAGATCTGCATGTAACCTCGCTATTAGGTTTTCATAATGAAGAGTCTCAAAATTTTTGTTGTCGATTATATTTTGCAATCTTTAAGTTTGTTGGTTCAAATTATATTTATTTAAAATATATTAAAATATAAGCTACAAACAATGTACCGACTGGGACTTGTCACAAGTTATGTTAATCTGGTCCTAATCATAATTGGGATCTTGCTGAAATTATGAACTGGCAATTCAGCATTATCATAGTTTTATTGATAAATAATTTTATATCATAGGCTATACTAGATATAAAGTTTACTTAAGATATTGTACATAAATGCAACTGTGCACAGGAAATAATGCCGTCCTTATTATATAATGATGTAGTTTTGTACCAGATAAACATATATTATTTTAATGAAAATTCATGAAGTTTTATTTTAAGAGTCAATGTTGTGTTTGTGATTTTTGAAACGACAAATTACTTTGAATTAATATGACCATAATTAACAAATATCAATATTTGCTGTAACGGTGCATGTTGTTTTCGTGAGTTACTATTCTGAATAACTAATGAAGCACATCTAAAACTATTACTCATATTAATTTAAAACGTATTAAATACATCATCACTGTATAACCATTATTTATCAGATATAATAGTGCATAGAAAAAAATATATACTATAAATATTTTTCTATTAATTCATATTATAATTATTGTTAGTTTAATTAACTTGCAGTAGAAAAGATTACAATACTTGACTTTAAGCGCTTATTTTGATTAATTTTTAATTAATTTTTGGATCACGTAACAATTGACAAAATAAATGAGGCAATTTCTCATCTAATTGAACCACCTAAAGAAAAGAAATTATTAAAGTTGCAATTAACAGAGTAAACAATATAAAAATTCTAAATAAGAAAGATGTAGCATGTATGAAAGTTTTTCGCATATTGTTTTTGAATGATAGTAAAAAAAAATTATCTCCTGAAAAACATATGTTGCCTTGCATAACTGAAAAAGAAAAGCGCCTAAATTTCACAGTAATTGGAAATAAATTTCAAAAAGACAAAAGGGTCTAAATACCTTGATAATAAAATTTATAAAACATTTTTTTCGGTTTTAAAAATTATTCATCAAATGTGTCAAACAATATTATATGTTTAACACAACCTGTTGCAAGGCGAATTAAAAGTAGAAATTCAATAAAATTAGACGAAAAGTATAAACAGTGTTCGTAGATATCCAAAGACAGGGTTTCCTGAAGACACTTACATAACACTCTTTCTTACAACCAGCATCGATACAATAACTACTACTATTGTTACATATAAACTAAACAGACACCTTTTCTTCATTTTGTGTGTAATTTTATGTTAATACATATAATCTTTAATTATACATACAAACCTTTAAAGTCTAAAACTCCAGTATTTTCTTAATGTCCTGCTGAATAACACACTGCTGAAGGCAAATACATATGTATTGAAGTATATATAAATATGGTGACACTCACATTGTATTCTATTCTTTAGATACACTGACACACCTTTATACACACAATACACAATTACATAACTGAACTACACTATAAAACTGTATGCATACTAAAATTTTGTTATCTTATTCATCAAAAATGTTGACACTTTATAAGAACAAACTTTATATTATCAACGTACAACAGTTTTTTTAACAACTCCCTATAAATCAACTATAGTTGAAAATTAACTAGGTTTTTTACCATGAGAACCTGTTAACCGTTTCGTTGAGGAAAAAATGAACAAAATGCTGCCATCCATGTACGCAAAACGAGTGCAAGTTAACAGACAATTAAATATGAAATAAATAGTGTTAAATATTATTTGATAAAAGTGATCGCAATTGCAATAAATCATACCTGCAATGGTAATACTATAAAACCTGTTTATGTAGTTATCCCTAAATGGTATGGGCGCATTGCCAATATTGCCATACGAAAACGGTTCTGGTCTTCAAATAATTTATATGCTATTTCAAAAGTCTTGAAGAAATACGATACATCAATTTCCAATTTCTTTTTAACTTCCCGTACGGTAACTTATAGTAATCGTAAAAAAATTGAAAATGAAAATATTTATATATTTACGTATCAAAAGTTTCTGAACATTCTGGCATACCTTACAATTAGAAAAAATGGATGTATGTTTGTGTGTGCGTTCAGATACAAATTTTCGTCGACAATTTCGGGAACACGGATGAAGCGATTTCAATAATTCAAAAAACATTCGATTCGTATTGATAAGGAGACGTGCTGATTAGTTTTTGGTGAAGGCAGGTTTAACCAAGTCGAAGATACGGGAAAAAACGTGCCAAAAATTTAATTTATTCTTGAGAGAACGGTGCGTCCGATTTCAATAATTCAAAGAACATTTTACTTGTAATGGCGAAATGAAGAACTTATTAAGTTTTTGGGAAGACATGACTAGCGGTTTCGGAAATCGAGTGAAGAGAGATTAAATAGATATTTTAAAAATAAGTATGAATTTTGTTTGCATTTCTATAGGTTTCGTACCAATGTTTATTTGTTAGATTGCGATACAGCGCTTACGCGCTTCGAAATTTTGATTTCGAAACAGTTACGCAGCGCGATTGCTTTGAAAAATTCTAAATTTAAAAAAACAAAATTTTCGAAAAAGTCAGTTTATTTTAATCCAACATTTTACTTCTTTACTACCGCTGTGTTAGAAATAGGAATTACTGTTCGAATTACCCCAATTTTATTACAAATTGAAATATTATTGAATCCTACATTCGTTCTTCTTACAAGCAAAAGATTATCTATTTCGTACAATCCATATAAAGGTTAAATAACATTGATGTAGATTTTATATATGCTGATGCTATAAACTATATACAGTAAAATGCAAGTAGTAATAAAACAGTTAGTACCCCGTAGCAGCTATAAAAGTTGCACGTGGCAGTTACGTAACCTGGGAGACACCTGGGCAAGCATTAGTATTTTGCAGTCAAACAACAACGTATCGCCGATGTCTGGAATAAGCAGTAGGATTTGTTTTTGCTGTTTTTAAATTTCAAACTCGGATGTATAACTTAGATGCTACCTAAAAAAATATTGATTTTTGCTTGTAATTATATATACATAGTATTTTGTACATAAATATAACACATTATTAATATACACATTATTTTCTTATGTATTTTTTTTAAAATGTTTTTCTTTAAAATTTTCAATATTTTATAATGCACTGTTGAAGGTATAAAATTACAAAATTTACCAGATGAGATCAAATTTCAAATATAAAAAAATATTAAAAAATTGCCTTATAACTATTAAAAACGTTAAACAAGGTTATGTTAAAATCAAATATTTAATAAAGATATATGGTTTCTGTTTTTCTAATATTCTATCCAGTTTAGTTTAGATACTTACTTAGTTGAGAATTCGCTTCGTATATGCTTACTAAACATACGTTTCTTACACTCTACAATTTATCCATTTAAAATTGTGATATTTGGCTGTAACTTTTTGGATGTAGAATTTAATTATTATTTGAATAGTATCTAATAAATAAATGTCCAGCAATTTACTGAACTCTTCTACAGAACATATACGTACTGTTTTCCACGCTAAATCTATGAAACGCGTGCAACGTAGCTGCTTCGTATACTACTATATATAATAGCCAAGTTTCATTAAAGCATTCCTCAGATTCGTAACAAAGTTACTGAAAGTTTCCTCTATGCTACATGGATTTAATTTTTGTGGTTATAAATATGTTGACAATATTTTTTAGTTAGA